GGTTTAGAAAAAACAAAAGAAACCATGTGGATAAAAGGAAACCGCAAATGAAAGTCCTGCTTCCCAATGATATTGATTCTGTGGACAAAAGATGTTCTCTGAGACAAGAAGGATGACTTCTCACCCCCACCCCCCACTCACCCTCGCCCTGCTTGGGGGGGGGGGGAGGTTGATATGAACCATCCCCCCAGTTTTGTTTTTTTTTTTTATAATTATCTAGCATGTTGTACAATCATGCCCAAATTAAGAGCAATGCACAGCGATTCGCGGCCGATGCGGACGGCGGACAGCAGCCAACGATACTGCTGGAGGCGCGCGGCGGACCGATGTGGTTAGATTTGGGGAGCATATATAGTAAATATATGCTCAAAATAGTTAATATACACCATTGTACTCTACTGAATAAGGAGCACGAACGCTTGTTTAGTCCCGTTGGTGTAATGTGTGTTGGAAATCCTCCCCCCCCCCCAAAAAAAAAAATGGGTAGCGGAGTACAAATTTTTCAAAGTGGAGTACAAATTGCCTGGGTCGTGAGTCATTACACTGCTATTTAGCTTATCATTGGAAGCCTGCAGTACAATAGGTGGTTTTCAAGGGGAAGCATGTTTCCCATACAGCAATTCGTGTGAAAGCACAAAATGAAAGAAAAGATCGGCAGAAAACATGAAAAAATGACAATACAGTTCCAGTCTTATTTTCATGACAGACGTACATAGTTATGAGGGGGCAATCTGGGAAAAGGCTGCCATGTCATGGATCTAGGCGAGTCTTTCTTCTAAAGTATTGCGGTAAACAATTAGCATCTTACGTGATTCTCCCAAAGGTACCCACAAGTCGCTTACTGAAAGTCTTAGTATCGCAAAAGAAGTTTGGGGCTGAGCAGGACTAAATGGCATACAAAAGCATGCCATCGAATGTGTCACGGACGACCACCTACGCACGCTCCACCGCGATCGCGCTATTCACGCTCCACCTCGTAATGCCACATCTACCTAGCTTCAAAAGGCATAGACACGACAAAACCCTTACGCGCCTCACATTTCAACCTTCGGACACCACGTGAGGCGCCGCACGTCCTAGCCGAGCGAAATAGACAGGCATAGACCCAGTCAATTTACCGAGATAGCACAAGTACCACGCCTGGCAAGAGCAATGCCAGCCAAAGGGGATTGGAGTCAGTCACTGTGATCCCTTTTTTATCCGTTGACTTCGGCGGATAATATGAGGTATTAATGGGGTTCGTTGCGCGTAGCTGACAACATTGCAAACTATGCTAATTGATATTCCAATTCATTGGTGCGTTTGCCGGGATAAATGTTTTTCATTAATTGCCAGACCAAATTAATGGGACGCGCCTTTTTAATGGGCTCAGTGACCCTTGGGCGCTGAGATTAACCTGTCCTGCAAGGTTGCTGGAAAAGAAACCTCTGCAGGGCCCATTTCGTGTTTGTGTGCGTACAGAAAAATCCCGGTGGGGTGCCAAACGTGCGTTTTTTAAGATAAATCAAGCAAGTCGTAGAAAATTATGTCATGCAGCTCATGTCTGTCCTGGTCCCATGGTATTCGTCCATTAGACAGCGAAGCATACTCAGTTGAAGTATAGGGTTTATGTAGGTAGTTTCGTGTATAGTGTAAGTTTCATTGCGCCTCAAAATTCCAAAGGCTTAAAGCATGACTCGGACATCGTAACACCATGTAGTGATATGCATTACATCAGCTTGGCCGGTTGCCAGTTTTCTGCCTCACCATGTGTAAGCAAGCTGTCACCTTTGAGCTTAAGCTCAGTATTTTTTAATGGATAATGTGAAATGGAAGGACGCATGTGTCAGGATACCAAGGGTTTGATGCAGGATCTTGCAGTGTTCCATGTTAGGGGGTGGTCGTAGGATTTTTGTGGGGGGGGGGGGGGGGCGGTGCTCCAGGCACATGTCCCTGGTTGGAGTGTGCGTACTGTGTGGCTTCGTGCAGGAAAATCTTCAGTTCCTTTCTTCGGTCAACGTGTTACAAACGTAAGCTCAGTGATCCTTTGTGGACATACAATGCCATTGATGTCGTAAGCTTTGAAATCACCGTTGTGGCCTGTTACCAAGGGGCGTCGTTTCGTGTTACGTTTGGAGGTCCTCAGCCCCTCTGCCGGAGAGTATGACCCTCGAATGTGTGTGGAGTCCATGACAGCAAACCAGTAGTTCTCGGTAGCGGAGACCTTATCTGCAAGCTACGCACCTTTCTAGCCACAATGCTCGCTGCTATATGCATGCCATAATTTGGTACTAAGCCAGAAGGAAAGCCACAGGAAAGCACTGATTACCAAACCGTCCAAGCGGTTTCAAAGCACCGAAGGACAACCAACGCACAGAGGTTACCAAAGGTTGGTTTTTATCGTCAGCTCTTGGAGGGATTCGGATTCACAAGAAAGATGGTGTTGAAATGGCGTACGGAGGAGCTCGTATTGCTAGTCACGTTTGAATGAATTATCAACTGCCCAGCGGTGAGACATAGGGTCATTTGGGTGTGCGCTCGTCTTTCGCCAAATACTGTGCTTACGTTCTGTTACTCGCCATTTGGCATGATTAGTGGGAGGCTCGTTGGCATTTTGTGTGCACCAGTGTTGAAGGCAGCCGGGGTCGCGAATCCAGCATCAAAAAAGCTTTGTACCTGAAGCCTCATTACTGGAGGCAGTCAAGTGTAATCAGCAACACTCAGGTACCCACTGCCGTAAAGAGTGACAATGCTGTTATCGTGGTGCCTATCGGCCATGGACAATGTTCTTGATACTCCTTCCATGGCATGTCTATGAACATCACCATGGGTGGCTTCTAGACATTTGGATTTTGCATCAACTGGCTCCGAAAATTAGATCGCATGCAGCTAACTCAATTATGACTGCAACTTGAATGGGTTGAACACACGTGATTCCGCCTTGACTCGCCAGAAGTCTAGTTGATGCCACCCACTCAAAGTGGCTGCCGGGGAAGCACACACGTCACATGCACATACCGCCATTGAAGCGTTCACGCGCGCAGATGTCCATCACCATGCGGGCTTCTCTTTTCTTATGACGATGTGATGGCAGTATACCATTCATCAATTGACCAACACGAGTACAAGTGCCACGAGTTGCTCTTGGGATGATCAGTTATTAAGATAGCTTAATAGATAATTACCAGAAGGTGAGCAAATTGTTTGGTCTTTATTTGGCTCAGTATTCCCTTTGCTCATGTGCATTGGGGGGGGGGGGGAGGGGTCTCAGAGGAGTATTAAGGGGGCTCATGTCAGCAGCATTGGGGGGTCTCAGACCCCCCCCCCCCCCGAAAGTGTAAGAAGTGATACCCTGGTCCATAGTGAGACTCCGGCTCAAATTGCAATCAGTGCGCTTTTAGTAGCAGGCTCTTGTCGCCCGCTAGGCAAATCACAAACGTTCCTTTATTCGCACCAGTAGACGTGCGCTCGGTGGTCATGGCGGTGGTGTCGCGACTGTAGGAAAGAAGCGTAATGCTGTGGCGAGGCGCTGACCGCATACTTTGGACTCGAAAATTATACAAATTAGCATCCTTATTATGTTTTCACGGTGCTGCAGTGACACTACCCAGTACTATTATTATATATCACTCGCCTTTTGGTTTAGCTGGAGTAGATGCAAATTGGCATCCGTATTATGTTTTGACGGCGCTGCAGTGGCACTACCCAATGCTATCAGATATCACTCGTCTTAAGGTTTTACTGGAGTATAATTTGGAAAGATGCCTTGAAGGTCGAACACTGCCTTCAACAAGTCTTCTAGTGGAACGAATACAATCGTGAACGCCGTTTTTCGGCCCCTAACCTGCGTGCTATTGGTATTGAAGGAGTTGGTGGAGTAAATGAAGCGCTTGAGATAGCACGATAGGTCCGACCGCCTGCACGTGTAGGTACGCATTGGGCTTAGTTTCAACAGGTAAGACGTGCGTGAAACTGGCATGTTTTTCGCATATTGCAGTTCCACACAGATGACTCGTGTGGTTTTCTTAATTCCTCAAGAGCTGTGCAATCTGGTATGAAGTGCACCATGGACCCCATTAAAACAATAATGATGCCTTTTTCCATCAACTCTCATGGTTGCAGATGTAGAATGAAGTTGGTCGCGCTATCAAGACGTACGGCGAGCAGTCATTCCGTTGTAGGATGGAAGCATGCTGCTCTGCGTCCCCCCCCCCCCCCCCACACACATACACACAAACCAATGACGGCAGACCAGCTGCGGACAGCTGGCTGTGCGCAGCGAGCAGCGAACAACCTTTCCGACCAACAGGTACTGGCAGGCCGCCTGCCCGTTCGGTTGGTCCCCGACCGGGGTCAAGTGGGCCGGCCCGGCTGACCCACCGCTGCTCCACAGGCCCAGCCGGAGCAGATCAAGACGCTGGTGCAGGCGATGGACAACTCGGACCTGGTTACCACCAACGGCTTCAGTATAGGCGACATGAAGTACGTCTACCTCTCCAGCATCCCGGGCAAGGTGATCCGGGGCAAGGCCAAGGGCCAGAAGTCGGGCGTGCACGTCTGTCTCACCAAGCAGGGTGAGTGGCGGCGCGGGCGGGCCAGCCGCACACAGCCGGGTGTAGGTCGGTGAACGCGCACCGCACACGTGACAAGGGCGGGGACGACGGCTGTAGGCCAGACGACTTTTGGGTGGGATGGGAGCGTATGTCACCAAAATGCAGCGCCGCCGTCTGCACATCCCATGCGCACCGCACCGGTGAAGGCGGAGGGGGGGGGGGGGGGAGGGGCACGCGTGTTCAGCATGACAAGTCACGGTAACCAGCTGGTATGATTCATCTTTGAGCTAATTAACATCGCAAATGTACGCTTTGTGATGTCTTAAGTCGACTATGCTGTTGTCATGATTCGTGAAATAGCTAGAAAAAAGTGATCCTTGAGTGTGATGCTCTGTAAGTTACGTTTAGGACTACCAATTAGAACTAGATGAAACTGGATAGAGAACTGGATAAGCTATATGTACGCCAATAAGTGTTATATGAGCGTCCTTATGTGTTGTCTAGGATTTTCCACTGCAAGCAGATGCTCAATTTTCGTTTTTTTCCTTCGCCCACCCGTGTTGTCTTAAATAACGATTAGTTTGTACTTTCTGGAACTCTCCGACGAAGTCCGACTCTAGGGCTCCATAGTATCGTTTAACGACATATAAGGGTCATATGATTTTCTCCAGAGCTCTCGAGGCAGTATTCCAAGTTATGGCCAGGAGCGTTGTGCTAAATTTAGACAATTTTTGTGACATTTTACTGTGCATGATATCGTTTGAGGCGTTTTAGTAAAAAAAAGTTGTATGCATTGTTGTAGGATACTCCTTTTTTGTTACACCGTAATGCCTGGTAGCATTTTTTACCTGTTTCCTGTTGCGGGGTCGTGGAGCCATTCGCATGGGAGCTGCTCACATGTGGGCAAGCTGCTTTCATACAGAACCGGATTCATGCACAGTGTGAGACAAAATGCATTAGCAGCATGTCGTCTTTCTGGGTGGTAGTCCACGCACATCCAGCTGTTCCAATGGTCGGCGGTCGTCTGGTCGCGCTGTGAAAGTCGTCCGCTCCCAGACGCATATCGTTCAGACGACGCTAATCGGCCGACCGATTGGACGCCGGGCCACGGCCGCCGCGCACGCGTCCGATCGATGCCCGGCCGGGTCCAGTGACCCAGTTGGCGGCCGGCGGTGTCCGTTACGGCGCGACGGTAGCCGGCCGGCGCCGTGACGTCACGCTGCCGAGCAGCCGGCCGCTGGCCGCCGCCCATGGCCGCACGGCGTCCGGCTGGCTCGGACGTGGGCCCCTGTGCAGCGGCGTGTCTGAGGGGCCTGAGTGGCGTAGAGGCTGGTCTGGATTGGGAACGCTGACCCGGCGAATCCGTCCGAAAGTGAGCCGTCCTTTAGCTGTTATTATAAAAAAGTTAGCGTCACCGGCATTTTTTGCGTCGTTTACGTCACCAAACTATATGAACCATCGGGCAAGAAGACAATATTTCACGAGTGAGCCGACGAGGCAATTGGAGTATTATAAAATTCTGCCAGACATTTTGTTGCGCGGGACTGCGCCATACATCTAAATAGTTGAGTTTTCCGTTAAGTAAGAATGCCACCTACTTCCGGCGTTATTTTCGACTGCGGTATGACTGGTGCATTTCGAGTGATATGTTAGCCATTACAGACAGGAAATACAACCTTGAATGCTCGAAGTATCCAACCCATTTTTTATTGGTGCAGGCACTTGTGTATCGTATTATTCTGATTCCGTTGTGGAGAGGGCATTGGTAGCGTAGAAGGCTTTCCTTGTGCATTATTTGACATGTGTCTGTGAATGGAGGCCATGTCAGTTGAGAAATGCCATGCAGCCAGTTATTTGGCAAACCTTCATTCCCCTCGGTGCAACATTTGTGATGTGCGCATGTATCATAGACCAGCACCATGTTTTTTGAATTATATAGAAGTAAATAATAAAATTAACTTGAATTATGTGTAGGCAAGGACAGTTTTGCAAAGCCGTATCAAGTAAGCTCCCACCCAGCATATGACCGCAAGGATCTTGGCGACCTGCCCCGTACTGCTGAAATGATTTTTTTTTGACATTTTGGCATGCAACGGTGTTGTGACAGGCGGTCATGCATTCATAGACTCAGAGTGTTGACAAGAGCGTAATCAAGTAATAAATTGCATTCCTACACCCCTAAAGCGGCGGAAATTCTGCTGTGCGTTATGATTCGTCGGCATCAACTCGCTTGGTACATTTAAATGCGAGAATAAGAAAGAGGTAGATGTCGATATTTCACGTGGTATTGGAACAATTACACCATTTGTGCTCCCTCAATAGTATGCGTCTAGTATACACTGTCTATCGCACCAAAATAAATCCAAAATCGGTGACGCGCATCAGTGATGACACCCGTTCCCAGCGCCAGACGCACGTACGCACGCATGTACTTACGTGAACGCACGCACACACGCGCGCACGCACGCGGGTGTTCATGGCAATGCAACTTAGACACGTCAATTTTATGGCACGAGTTTTCTCAAAATAAAATCCTATACAATATCTAATAAATATTGGGACGCCGTTAGACGTTTAAATATGCGCGAGAGTTCGATTTAAGCGTTACGTCGCCTAGACGTGAGATATATAGATATTTAGATTATAGATAGCAGTAGAAGAAAAAATGGCAACATGAAAAGAGCAGATCTGCCGTCAGGTCTTCTTTCATTATAATATTGGAAAGACTGCCATTATTTGTCCTAGCCTTACTTTTTTACAGACAGTGGCGTAATTTTTTAAAAATATTATATTGGCTACTGAGCTCCGTGCGTGCGTGGGGAAGGAGGTGCCAGACCTTTCCGTCCTCATGTCCGGCCGTGCCAAGCCGGCGCTGGGACGGCCGGAGGGTCGGAGCGGCGCGCCGGTCGCCATATGCCGGCGTAATTAGCGCTGTGTCTGACAAACGTCGTCAGCCGGGCCGGCCGCTCGCCCCGGAATCCAGCGACGCCCTGCTCGCTGCGCTGTCTGCGGCGCGCCGAGCCGGCGGCCGGCCTTGGCCCGTCACCAGCCGGTGCTGTCTACTCGGTAACCGGCACAGATGAATACACAACGGGCGCTGGTTCGAACGGTGGCGGTCTGACCCTAAGCTGTGTAGGTGATCAGCGCGTCCAGCACAGCCTGAAATAGAGGTCGCAGGGTGTGGCCTGTGAGCGTAGCCAATGGGTGTGTGGCCCGTGAGCGTAGCGTGGTTGCGCCGATGGCGTGACCAAGTGACCACACTGACTGACGTACGTTTGTCCTCCGTTTGACAGCCATCATCATCGGTCGGTACAGCGATCCCGTAACGGGAGGAGAGGCGGCCAAAGTCGTGGAAAACCTAGGCGATTACTTGACGGGCGTCGGCTATTAAATGTGAGTGGCCAAGGTGAGGTTTATTTGCGCGCATTGTTGCATCGTCGCTGGCTCATTGTTACGTTGATTGTCGCATTAACATACTGCTCGTAGTCATGTCACAAGTGTCGAAAGTGTTTCTGTGTTTACTGTTATATTGTTTTATAACTCCATAAGATAATGATTCCATGTTACCACAACACGAGCTTATCGTTCCATTTGTCGCTTGGGGAGCGTTTCATGCAAGTGAAGCTTGCGTAGTGGGTTGGCATGCGTGCCCGGCTATGTCTGGCCGCTAGCGTGACGGCTGGTGCGCTGCGGTGGTGGTTGGTTTGCCGCTGAGCGCGGCTGTCTGGTGTGTGAGCTGCCTCTGACGCGGTCGTCGCGTTGCAGGCGTCGCCGCAATGTGGCTGAGCCTGCCGCGGCCGCACCGGCCTCCGCGGTCGGCGCGCAGAGCCGGCGGGCCGGCGCCGCCCCCCGCCCCCTGCCCGGCCGGCACGCGCACAACGGGCCGTCACATTCCAGGACCCAGGACGACCTCCGGCTGCCGCCGGGGCCGGCCGCAGCGGGGGCGGCCCGACCCCACTTCCAGCGCCGCCTCCCCGACACCCCGCCACCCCCGGTTTTGTAATATTGTTTTGTAAGTGAGAGCGAGCGGTCGGCGTTTCTCGCGGCCGGCCTGGTGCGCCGACGGGCCGCCGCCTCTTGTTTAGTCGTTCTTCGCGTTGGCTAAATTTCGGCGGCTGCGAGTGCGAGTGCGCGGGCGAGTGCGTGAGTGCGCGCGCGAGGAGCGCCGCCCGGGCCGGCGGCGCCCGCGTACGATTGGAGGATTTGGCGGCATTGCGTGTGTGCACGGCGCCACCGGGCTGTAAACCGTCGAATCCCGCAGGCCACCGGCCTTCAAGGTCAATCGGACGAAAAACCGTGATCCAGCATGGCGACCAAGTCAGCTTACTTATACTTAAGTGATGTTAAAACCCGAGATAATTATCTGAATCAAAGTCAGGCTTCCTCTTCTGTGAATAACCGTGTGGTGTGAATTTACTCGCTCGGATGCGACGTGTTTGTTTCAAATCTAATCTGAAAAGTTGTTTTCTTCTTGAAACAGGGTTCTGCTTCTATATTCCAGTTCTGGAGTATATATCGCTTGCCTAGTTTTGTATCTTCGTTAAGCTATGTATTCTGGGTCCCGTTATGTTTTTGTACTAAGCGATTGAAGGCCCCCAAATAAATTTATTCAAAAGTTGCACTTGTTTTGTGCCCGTGTAAGTGGAGCGACATGCACTGCCGTGGTCAGCGAGGAAAAGAAACTGGAAGGCAATGTGAACGCCTGTTACATGCTGTGAAGTGTATACATTCGTACACCGGCTGATCTTCTTTGTGGTGGTCGTCTGCACAGACTGCTGAGGGCAGGTCGGGTCGCCTCACCATATCTGGTCCAATAGGTTTGTGTACACATATTGTCGATACGGCCGTTTATTTTAAATGACATACTATACACATGCACACGTACATCCATATACTTAAAAAATAGCTTGCCTCGGTGCATATTACAAGCGCTTTATGTACACTATATTGCCAAACGACACCTTGAGACGTATTATCACGTAAGATACGCAAGCCTTTACTTTGTTAGTCGCACGAGATAGGCGGCTGCCGCGCGGGGCTGGACACGGGAGCCTGTCCGGGTCCGCCACTTGCTGCCGTTGTCAGCCGGGCCGCAGCTACACTTGCTCCAGCGAATACTGCTTCCTCCGCCAGAATCCCTTGAATATGCTGAATTTGAACTTTGAGTCGCCATCTGGAACGGCAAGCATTTTTGTGGATTGGCAACGGTTTGCACAAACAGGGCGGGTTTTGCAGGCTGTGTGCCACTGCCTGTCCCAACAGCGGAAAACAGCCGACGCTTGACAAGCGGGTTGCAGATGCTGGCGGTGGGGGGTCTTCCCTTCTCCCCCCCCCCCCTCCCCCATCTGCCCTCGTGGCTCGGGTGCGCCGCCGCCACTGGCCGGCAGAGGCGGGTGCCCAGCGGGGCCATCAATAAGAGCGGCGGCTGACAGCAGCACGTCCCGAGCGGCGACACACGCGGCCGCCGCCAAACAGTCGCGGCCAGTCAAGGTCGCTCTGCACCCGACGGGCAGCGCCTGGCCCGTTCGTGACCCGGTCACGCCCGGCGCCACCGGGCTGTCCACGGCTCTAGTCCGTTCGCGACTCGGTGAGGCTCCCATATCGGTTCCCTGTGACCCGTTCATACGTCAGGGCCTCGTTACAGGTCCCCTACCGTTGCCGTAAATCGAGCTGTAAACGTGAATCGTTAGCGGTCCGCTGGAGTGTGCTGGCAGATCTGTTGCGGGGCGCCCGCCCGGCCCGCTCGGTAGGCCGCCTATTCCTGGCGTCAGGCGGGCGCCGCTCCAACCCAAACAGCCGGCTTCGACAGGCCATGCCGGCGCAGCTGTGGCCCGCCGTCAGCGGCGGCGGCCCCCGCCGGCTACCCCGCCCGGCCAGAGAGCGCCCGCATACGCGCCGGTCACGGCGCCCGCAGACCAGCCGTGGTCGCGTCACGCCTTATATGGCTCTATGGCGTGGCGCCGGCCTGGCCGTTTTCGGCTGAAAATGCCTGGCGGTACCGTCTGCCCGCGGTAAGGGGGCTGGGCGCAGCTCGCCTTGGATCTTTATCGGGCCACCTGCCACGTCATCGCCGCCCCGATAGCGCGTGTCGCACCGTCTCACCGCGTTTGTCCACACATCACTGGTTCCGGTCCCCACGTCGGTCTCGAGGAGTCTTCGTTGACTAGCTCAGCACTCAGTCGCCGCGAGAGCTGAGACACGCGCCGAAGGGCTCGGAAGGCTCAGAACTGCAGCTAAGCCCTGCTCCCTGGTCTCAGCCGCCTCCTGAGGCGCGCCGGCACGTACCGAAGGCTCGGAGGGTTCAGGACTCGAAGCCCTGCTCCCTGGTCTCAGCCGCCTCCTGAGGCGCGCCGGCACGTACCGAAGGCTCGGAGGGTTCAGGACTCGGAGTCCTACTCCCTGGTCTCAGCCGCCTCCTGAGGCGCGCCGGCACGTACCGAAGGCTCGGAGGGTTCAGGACTCGGAGTCCTACTCCCTGGTCTCAGCCGCCTCCTGAGGCGCGCCGGCACGTACCGAAGGCTCGGAGGGTTCAGGACTCGGAGTCCTACTCTCTGGTCTCAGCCGCCTCCTGAGGCGCGCCGGCACGTACCGAAGGCTCGGAGGGTTCAGGACTCGGAGTCCTACTCTCTGGTCCCAGCCGCCTCCTGGGGCGCGCCGGCACGTACCGAAGGCTCGGAGGGTTCAGGGCTCGGAGTCCTACTCCCTGGTCTCAGCCGCCTCCTGAGGCGCGCCGGCACGTACCGAAGGCTCGGAGGGTTCAGGGCTCGGAGTCCTACTCTCTGGTCCCAGCCGCCTCCTGAGGCGCGCCGGCACGTACCGAAGGCTCGGAGGGTTCAGGACTCGGAGTCCTACTCCCTGGTCCCAGCCGCCTCCTGAGGCGCGCCGGCACGTACCGAAGGCTAAGAGGGTTCAGGACTCGGAGTCCTACTCCCTGGTCTCAGCCGCCTCCTGGGGCGCTGCCGGCACGTACCGAAGGCTAAGAGGGTTCAGGACTCGGAGTCCTACTCCCTGGTCTCAGCCGCCTCCTGAGGCGCGCCGGCACGTACCGAAGGCTCGGAGGGTTCAGGACTCGGAGTCCTACTCCCTGGTCCCAGCCGCCTCCTGAGGCGCGCCGGCACGTACCGAAGGCTAAGAGGGTTCAGGACTCGGAGTCCTACTCCCTGGTCTCAGCCGCCTCCTGGGGCGCTGCCGGCACACACCTGCCCATCCGTTCGTCCGTGCCCGCCGCCCCTCCCCCCACGCCTCTCCATCTCTCACCGAACACGGCTCGTGCCCAGACGCGCACCGCGCCCGTCGCCAGCGCCGCCCTGTTGACAGCGGCGACAGGAATAGTTGCCCCCGACGCCAGCCTCGCGCGAGACGCCAACGACCGCTCACAAAGACGGGACGACACGGCCGCACCCCGCACGCACCGTCCTTTTTACCGTACTCAGTTTTTGCGTGACCTGGGAGTCTTTCTAGCGCGATGACGGGCGGTGGCTTTGCAGCGGCTTACAGCGACGCCACGCTCTTTGGGATGTCATACCACTGCCTGCCGACGGGGATCAGCCATCGTCCGTCAGTTCCCGGGCCTGTGCAGCGGCCAGCCTCCACCCAGCTGGCGCCTGCTGACGAGTCAGCCCGATACCGATGGAATACACCCTCCGGCTGCCGGTCCCAGTCGCTGTTGGGCTGCCAGTGGCGGCCAGCCGGCGCCTGACCTCGTCACTGACTCCGGCACGCAGACACGGGTGACCGATGACCGACAAAAACCCGGCCCGGACTGGGTCAGGCGCACAGCACTCTCGCCGAACGGGCTCCAAGGCCGGCGAGCGGCGCTCGGCTATCGCACAGGGCCCGTTCTCTCCCGCCGTCGCCATCGCCGTCGCCGTCGCCGTCGCCGCCGCCGCCGCTGTCGTTGCCACCGCTGCCGGGAACCGGCATGACTCGAGCGAATGGGTGGACTGGCAATGAACGGTGCGCTTGTGTGAACTAGCTTCCATGAACTACGTAAGCGTGCGTGCCAGCCGACGCGAGTTATGGACGTATCTGCACCAGTCACCGCCGCCAGCGCTGCCGTATACGCCACCACTCGAACCTTGCCATTACATGAGCCATTGCACCTGACTGCCACCAACACCCGAGCGGCCACAATTCCGAGCGGTCAGCTCCCCGAAACGGAAGATTTATGAAGCTGTTGCAGCGGCCATTGGGCTTCAGAAGCTCTCATCAACGCGGCGCCAGCGACAGCTCTCTGTGATGACGGTTTCATGCCGAACCGTCTCAGGATTACGCTGGTCATGGCTCAACTGAGCCGTTTCGGAGTTACGCTGGACATGGCTCAACTGAGCCGTTTCGGAGTTACGCTGGACATGACTCAACTGAGGCGTCTCGGAGTTATGCTTAGGGGTTTGGGGCTTTGAACGCGTAGTTAAGCCGCCCAGCCGGCAGCTCAGCAGGCACCAGGGGTCTGTGCCAGCCAGCCGGCAGCTCAACAGGCACCAGGGGTCAGATGCCAGCCAGCCGGCAGCTTAGCAGTTATCAGGAGTCTGTTGCCAGCCAACCGGCAGCTCAGCAGGCACCAGGGGTCTGATGCCAGCCAGCCGACGGCTCAGCAAGCACCACGGGTGTGGTGCCAGCCAGCCAGCAGTTCAGCAGGCCCCAGGGGTCTGTTTCCAGCAAGCCGGCAGCTCGGCAGGCACCAGGGGTCTGTTGCCAGCCAGTCGGCAACTCATCAGGAGCCGGGGGTCTGTTGCCATCCAGCCGGCAGCTCATCAGGCACCAGGGGTCTGTTGCCACCCAACCGGCAGCTCATCAGGCACCAGGGGTCTGTTGCCAGCAAGCCGGCAGCTCAGTAGGCACCAGGGGTCTGTTGCTAGCCAGTCGGCAACTCAGCATACACCAGGAGTCCGTTGCTGGCCAAACGGCAGCTGCACAAATGAGCCTACTGCACAAAACACAAATGTTGGGGAGTGTGGCAGCGGCAAAGTCATGACTTTTTATGCGACGACACGGTCAAACGGGTTCAATTCCGACCCACCTTGAGGACAAGGCAGCGGTGAGCGCTGCCTTCCTAGGCCAGGACCTCTGTAGCCAGTCCGCGCGGACGCTTGCAAATTACCGTGTGATGGCGATCCGTGGCTCACCCTCGGCTCCAGGGCCCGTCGCCAGAACCGCGCATCACGTCCCACTGGTGCGGCGCGGCGGGCCGCACGGCCACCACCGCCGCCGCCGCGCGCTGCGGGGCGCCCCGGGGCCACCGGCCGACCGGGCACAGACAGTAAAAATAAACGGGCTCGTAGTGCGCGGGATTGGTGAGGCCCAGTCGGGTGGTACGTGTACGTGCCGATGCGGCGCTTCAATGGGAAGTTATCTGGTATGTTTGCCTCCAAAGGGATGACAGTGCAGGGGCCATCGCTATCGGCTGACGTGCGCCTGTGGCATGCCAACAGGTGTAACGTCGCGGCAGGCAAGCGCTGCCAAAACAAGCATCTTTTGGCAGCGCTTGACAATGCTGGCAGATGGATGGCCAACGGGGAAACTTTAGACGACGAAGACAGCCAACAAAGTGACTGAATGAGCTTAGAATGGGGTACGTACGCTGATGATGTCTCCCCGGAATGCAGCTTACTCTATCTA